GCAGAAGTAAGCCCTGCTTTAGTGTGGTTGGTGGGGTAATAACATGGGTGTAATAATTTATAGTTTTAATTTGCACATTTCACCTGAAGTGTCATACGGTGTGCTTGAGTTTGATATTGTTTATGTTAGAGAATTACACGCTTATGATTTTGCAATAAAAGATTTTGTAATAAAACAAAGGGTGTTATTTGTACTGGATCCTGTATATATTTTACCAAAGTTGGTGGCAGCCAGGTCTTCGTCTTTACTAAAAAGCATATTTGTGTATGCAGAAACACTCTGTGGACTGGGACAGGGTTTCAACTGGCAAGCAAATAAACAAGCAAATGAACAAAGACAATAGCAACCAAGCAAAGAGAACAGTGGGGTTCTAAGAAGAGCAGCTATTTTTCTCACCCTCTGAGTGAAGTCTGTCTGAGGTGATCTGTCAAGGCAGCAAACAGAAGATGCTGACTTTTTCAGGGTCCTGTGAACTCTGCATGGTGACTGGCCAGGCCATGCTGCTCCCGAGCAGGAGGGTGGCCAGGGGCCCACTCTAGAGAAGGCGGTCCCTCTTCTTCTCTACCTCATGCACTTAACACCAAGCAGCTTTTGAACTGCAGGAGGGCCAGTCTGAGGAAGTAGCAACATGGAACGTGGGTGGTGATGGGGAGTAGGAAGATAGGTACCCATGTGCAGACCATCTCTATCTTCTATCTCCTCTTGGGAGATCTTTCTAGGCATTCGACCATGGACATCAGGGATGAAGTCAAACTGTTTGGTACCCCCAGCGCCAAAGTAGTTAATGGGACTAATAAAGACAACAGTGATGTTTCTTACCTTCTCCTTCACACCTACTTACTTTCCCTTGGTCTTCCATGACGGGATATATGGGCAAATTCTTCACCCTTTTACTTATAGGGCATTCAAGTTAATCCTGGGTTCTCTTAAGCTTCTTAAATTTCTCTTGTGATCTATGGCTTGAGTAGCATAGAGAAGCTATGAAAGCCGGGCTTTTCATGCTTTTCCTTCCACGGAGGCAGTCACGTCACTGGCCCCGAAGCGGCAGGGTGCGCCTCACGAAGGGAGGTCGCTGGACTGCGCTCCAGGTCTCTTTCCCTGCTTTGTTGACAGTTCCTAATAACACCGCTGGCATTGGGACTTTGCAGACGCAGGAAGGAAGAGATGTGTTCTTTAATGATGGAAAAATATTGGAGCACAATGCCCTTAAAATAGAACGTGTGCGCCTAGCCTTTATTTTGAGGACTTTATTGTTGTCACCACCTCTCCTGGGAAATGCTGTGCGAGGACTTTTTCCCTTTGGTGAAGCAGAGTAATGGTGTAACCCGAGGTGTCCCCGAGAGAGCAGAGGGGATGATGGCAACACAGGCTTTCGAGGCAGGACTGCGTTTTTATGTTGATGAGTGCGTGCGGCAGTAGATTCCTCCTCTCCAAACTCCGATTTCTGGAAAATGAGGGTAATCACCTGTGCCTCCCACCTCACTAGGCTGTAATGAGGATCTACCTAAATAATGGACGAGACTTTGTCCACAAACTGTAAAATGCCACTAACGTTAATTGTCATTGTTATTGACAATCAGAAGCCCTGCCCCTCTTGGGTGGTAGATTTTTCATTTTTTATGAAATAACCCTTGCCCTATTGTTGACATTTATGCTTCTGCATTGACACAGATGGAGTAGGAGTGCAAAATGCTTGGTATCCATAGTAGAGAACTGATACTAAATGTGCAAGATCAGCCTCCTTTCTCACCGCCCGAGAACGTGGTAAGGGCAGCTGTCATGATGAACAGGAAGAGAGTGTTTGGCTCTCAGACAGATTTTTCATCATCTTCCTCATCCTAGAAAACCCTGGGGAAGTGTGCCTGAGTTCCTTTCACATTGGCTTCCTGGCATTTGGTATTGTGTCCAATGTTACCTTCATCTGTTTTTTTTTTTTTCCTGAAAATCATCAATGAAAAATGCTCCTGATTTCATGGTTCCCTACTGTTCCCCTTCATTAACATCACTTTATTTGGACCATTCTTGTAACTGGTTAGTAAGACTGATGACCTGCTCTAGGGATGATGGTAATGTTCTCAAGGGAATCTTCATCTGCAGGTGATTAGGAGAATAAAAAAGTTGCTAGCCACCTCAGTCAGCACCAGTGGGTTGTAAGGGACTGCTGTCCAGCCTCCTCTGCTATGGTCTTGGTCCGCTCCCATTCTTTGAACTGTAGTTTATGACAGTTTGCTTTTGATCAGAAAGCGCTGAGGTAGAATCCGTTTTACCAGGAAAAGGGGTGAGAGGTCTCTGAAAGGCCCCACATCCCGCAAACATGGGTTCTGAGCACAGACATTTTTGGGTTTAGGCACCAAGAGGAAGAAGCCTGCTGAATGCGTTTCTGTGCACATGTGTGCATTCAGGGATGTGTTTGCAGAGGGGGGTGGGGAACTCCTCACTATTCAGCTGCCTCTCTTGATTTGCTCCAATTTCATTTCCATTTGCTAGAGGGACATCTGCACATTTTTCTGCCCAGCCAACATTTAATGCACATCAGTTCAGCCCTAACCCTCTGTCGAGGTCAACCGCCCTCCACCTCCAGGCATCCCAGGGGGTTAGAGCTAAGGATACACAATACTCTAAATGGAATATTGAAGATCCCCATCTGTCTGGTAGTCCTGATCAATAAATGTGAGCCCTTCCTTTCCAATTCTGTATAAGCTACATGTCACCACCTGGTTTTAAGACAAGCATGAGATGTGGGAGTCTGAGCACCCAGCTGTCACAGTGCTCAGCCAGGACAAGGATTATACTTTTAATCATGTTATTCTGTGACTAAAAGATTCTTTTAAATTCCCCTCACCCCTTTTTCCCTCAAGGAAAATGTAACAGTGTCTGAAATTGTAGGTGCCTTTCCGACACTTTTATTTCACTTGCTGAATCACTTTCTTTGAAAGAACTTCTGTTCAGGCAGTCAAACCCAGGCACTGTGGTTTCTGGGGCATCTCGATGGCTTCTGCCAACTTGCAAGGCTGAACAAGACCAGTTTGCATTTATGAACAAAGCACTTAAGGAAAGCGGGCAGGTCCAAGATGCCAACTCTGGCCCCATGAAACACCTAGCCCCTTGGTTGTATTGGGACAGCCATTCACTCCTGAAGGCCAACAGTTTAAAAACATCCTGCAGAAACCGCCAACCCTGTAATGAGCAGGCAAACACAATGAAAAAGCTGGGTTGTCTGAGGCACTTCTCTAGCCTGAGCAGGGACACCCCTGGGGCCCCAGCCAAAATACAGGCTGCACCTGTTCAGCCTCTTCCCCAGACCAGAACAAAGCTGATTGCAGCAGAAGCCACCATACCAAGTATCAGGTTGCACTGCAGAGACTGTCTGCCTCTAGCCCACCCCCTTCCCTTGGCCCAGATGGAGGAATTGGGGGTGCCCAGATGTGTGGGGGTGGGGTGAGGTGGGTATGAAAGGCTTTCTGGGAGAAAGGAGGGCTGAGTAAGCTGGAGATGCTGTCTGGGCTGAGGGGAGTCTCAGGTCTTCCTAGCTAGCATTGCTCTAATGATATGAATGAATGGGGTGGGTGTGGGGTGAGAGGCAAAAGACAGATGGATTTGTCTTCCGAAGCTGTTCTACCATCAGCTTTAGGATTGTGGGCACATCCTTTCACCCAGTGGAGCTCAGCTTCCTCGTTTTTTAAAAGGAAAGGGTCAGAGTAGCTGTGAGTCATTCCTCCGTTTTATATTGGGTGTAAGTGGGCAGGGCAGACCTGTCAGTCATTAGATGAGAGTTTCTTTCAGGCAGAAGGGGATGATCACAGAGCTGTTTCCTAAAGAACCTTAAGTGGGATGTGGAGTTCTCACTTGTGTTGCTCCTAATAATTTGGCATGCTATTGGCACACTACCCAGCAGCCTACAGCCTCTCCCTGGACCAATCCATTTTCCATGTTACTGTCGGGTCTTGTGTACAAGAAGACCTAGCTCTCTCACAGACCCCACTCAAGGCCTGCCAGACCTTTGTTTCCCAAACATAGCAGCACACTTGGTGCTTGTGTCCAAGTTATCCCTTCTGCCTAGGGTGGATGTCCAGAGAACTCTTTCTGCAAGAACCAACTCAAATGTAGACCCCTGCCCCAAACTTTTGGGCCACTTCCTCAGCACTTTGTTAAACCCACCCAATGGCAATTACAGAGGCGTGTCAGTCCCTCCTTATAGGACAGGAGAAAGGAACTATATTCCAGTCAACTTTGTGCCTGACAATGCCTGACCCTATAATAGGTGGGATTTAAGAAATACAATGGGAAATGGATTACTAGAGGTGTGAACTGAAAACCAACCCAAGCTTTCCACACTCAACTGACCTAAAGCATTAAAAATTATTTCAGAGGGACAAAAGTAAACTACTGTAGCCGAGGACTTATCTAAGTACTTTAAAAAATATATCCCAGAGGGGAAAACCTGACCTAGGCATTTCATAATGCTATTCTGCAAAGTAAAAACCAAGTGCTGCATCCCGATTTACCTCCAACAGTGTCTTCTGGGTTACAAGAGATAAATGCTAACAAGGAGTGAAATCCGGTGCCCTCCACCTTATTAATATGTAAAAAGCTAAAGTCACATCTGTGCAAGGATCTATTTTTAGTGGACCCTACATACTAAAATCCTAGTCTTGCTCTCTCAAACTATCAAGCCTATCATAAATGTTTGATGATGAACAAGCCCATAAAAAGAAAATGCATAAAATGAATAGAGAGAGTCAGCGCGTGCCCTGCCTTTTAATTACCACTGGCTTCCGTACAATCCTGCTCCAGGCTGGGCGCAGGCACAGAAAATACAACAATAATTTTTTTTGGGGGGGGTGGGCAGGGTGTGGGTGCTGCAAACAAATGGGTCTAACTACATTGTTATTTATTCTTTGGAAGCCATATAAAGATGGAAGTAGAATCCTACCCCCAAAATGTGAGGTTTAAGAGGGGAAAAGTTAAGAGAGAAATAAATGCATCCAAGACACGAAAGATAATGAACAGTCTTGTTTTATTACTTTTAAGTAATAAAGAGCCTTTTTCCTTGCTTTTTTTTTTTTGTCTTTTTTCCCTTTTTTCTTTTCTTTTTTACAACATACATTAAGTCGTGAATCAGATGTTAGGAGATGTGGAGATGGAAGGAAAATTGGTGACATCACAATATTTTTACAACTTTACAACAAATATAAATCTGAGTTTGTTGTATCTACCAGTGTCTAGCAAGGGTGGAAAGCAAAGGCACACTCGGGTTTATGGACCCTCCCCCCACATGCAGTGGGGAAATAAAAGAAAAAGGGAAAAATACTTAAATGCAGAAGACCAACTCAACACATGTGGGTACTCTAGGGTCAACACCATAAGTGATGGGTGGTGGGATGTAATTTTGACACAGGTCTTCATAACACAGCTGAGGCAGGGATGCCCCCACACAGGATGAGACAGCGAGACCGCACTGTCAATACTCTTGGGAGTTAGGCTTGGGGAAGAAGGTAGCACAGTAGCATATACCCATCACTTTCCTAAGTTCTGCATTTAAAAAAAAATCCAAGGGAAAAATACAATGATCTGTTTCTATCTAGAAAAGACTTCATGGTTTCAGGGCACAGAGTTCACAGGATGTGAACTTTGATTCCACTAACACAACAAAAGTATAAGTACACAAAAACAACAACAGAGACCTACCCTGAATAGCAAACTGGCACGAGGTGGTGGGACAAAAGGCCCTCTTGCTGCACACCCGGTCTCTCTGCTTACCGAGGCACCCCTTTTTCACCAGCCAACTCAAAATTGCCCCAAATTATCTTTTTGGAAGTTTTTTCTTTTTTTAAAGACAAAACTAAATGCAGATCAAACTAGAAACAAAAAGACAAAGAGACCATCAAACATGTTTAACTGTTTAAAAAAAACCATAACCAGTAATGCTCACAGTTTACGTATGTTGAGAGTTCCTTTGTTCATGATAGCGTAAACAAAAGTCCCTTCGGTGTGCTCGCACTAATAAAAACCTAGGGGAAAAACACACACCTGTGCACCCCCACAAACCATAACAAAAGGATAAAGACATTTTTTTAGAAATTAAAAATCTTTTGCCCCAGTCAAGGTTTTTGCAGCATCCATTGTGGCTGGCCTTGTACTTGGAGTTGCTCATTAATCACAGCAGGGTCCAGCCTGCCTGCATCTATTTCCATGTCATTTCTTTGTGTGCAGTGCTCGAGTGCACCGAGCACACGGCTTGGAGACTCCTCCCAGTTGCCTGCCCAACCGCACACAGCGTGTTTTCCAGCCAGTGGACCTGGCAGAAATAAGGACTGGGACTTCAGGCCTTTTCCTGCTGGGAAATGAGGATATCACCATGTTGAAATGATCTGAGAATTTAAGGGAAGCAGGGAGCCCCCGAGGGAGAAGGAATTTGCCACCCACAACACTGGGGTCCATGCTTGGCAACATGGCCAAAGGGTGGTTGGAATTGGCACAACTAGAAGGGTGAACCGGAGGGTGTTGTGCGCCCAGCTTTCCCAGGCTGCGAGATTACAACCATCACCACTGCATTCTTCTTCCATCTGCTGGACAGCTAATCTTTCAGAGGACTGGAGTGGGGTGGGGGGGAGGGTTAAATAAATATCTGTATTTCAAAAGGAGGAAAAAGTTTATCATGACATTTTACAAGTGTACACAACTCAGGGTGTAAGGCACAAATTTACATGTGGAAAACAGGCTATTCACAGATGTAACCCCACGAAAAACCCGTGTGATCAAACCATTAGTTTATGCAAGGTAGCAGCCAGCGTATTAATTAGTTCACACCGTTTGTGGATTTTGTTTGCTGTCTCACATGCAGTATGAGATTAGATGGCACATCACAAGCTGGTGCCTTCACAGAAAGTAGGAACCACTGACAGAGCTATGTTGGCAGCAATGGGGCATGGGTGTGCCATTCTAAAAGTTCCTCTCCTGGTTGCTTTAGAAGTTAGGATCTGGAAGGACTTTTCAACTAATTATTTTTTTTTTGCATGTTATATAGCACAGAGACCTGACCAGCAAAGTGACTGGTAGATTTAAATAAATATTCCCCTCTTAACTTTCTCCTTCAGCTAGATACCACATAGTCCAAACACAAAGCTCAGAATTCCAGCTCCAACTTATTTACTCAGTGAATTTATTGTAAAAATAAAGAAACTCAATTATTCCAGTTAATGGATTTCATGTTAAATAGTGTGACTTCAAGGGGCTTTTCTGAAGAGCTGTTCATAGGGTGGTATGTGGAAGAGTCCGTTCCTTAAGGAAAAAAAGGGTGAACAATAAATAAAGTTACTTGCGTTAACGGTCACGTTACTTCATTAAGAGAGAGGAGCAGAAACCTATGACATAGTCGCCCAGCATGGCATTAATCTGCTATAACAGAAAGCTGTTAACACTGGTGGGCACTTCACAGTATCTGCGCATAGTAAACTTCTGCCATTGTTAAAAGTCTGAGTTAGAATTATCAATGTATTTTTTTTTGTCTTTTTAACTTGCATGATTTTAAAAAATGTATTTGTTTTGCAAGTTGGAACGCTAGCCTAGTTTGGCAGCGCTCTGTGCAGTCATGGACAGTGTTGTAGTTGTTCACCTGTGTGAGTGTGAGTGTGTGTGTATGTGTGTGTCCGTGCACAAATGTGCACACGTGTGGGTGGGTATGTGCTTTTGGCTCATGTTTGTGATGATAATTTAAGTCTTTTGTGAGTACAACCTGTTGCAGGGAGTGGAGGGGGTAGAGTGAAGGAAGAGAATGGAGGTGAGTCCCGCGTCGCAAAGCTTCACCAAACCACGTGGGCCACTTGGAGAGTCCCCCCAATTCCCCGAGGACGCAGTGTCCCGGGCTCTGCTGCGGCCATCTTGGTCTGGTGCGCACTGGGGGCGGCTGAGACCCGTGCTGAGCGAGTGCGCGCCTCGCCTTTCCTGCTGGCTCGACACCTGACCCCACCCCTGGGATTATGTACACGCATCATTGGGCTTCATGGATGTGGAAAGGGGGGCAAAGGTAGGTTTGGGGGGTACGTCCGGCTTTAGCGAGGGTGTGCGCTTCAGCCCCGACCTGGTCAATGAGTTGTAGGCGTTGAGGCTGGGCTGCCTCGAAACAGTCACGGCTGGGCCAGACGCCTGCGAGCTGTGCACCTGAATGGAGTCCACTCGCTGTGGGGCAGGGGGCGGGTTGTCTCCCCGGCCAAAGCTCTGGTTTCTGGAGAGGTGGGAGGAATTGGAGGAATTAGTATTGTTTCTTTTGAGAGTGGTAGCCTGGTGGCTTCTCGTGAGCGAGTTCGTGGGGTAGCTCCTCTTATAGTCAAGCCCGTAGGAGGAGGAGGGGTGCATCTCCAGCCGCTTGCTTAGGCCGCTCTGAGACAGGGAGGCTCCCTGGGGGCCAAGGGAGGCCTCCCGCTGGGGTACTTTGGGGGGCAGGCTGTCCAGGTTCTCCACTAGGTTCACCCCATGGTTGGGACTCTTGCTGTTGAGATGCTCCTTGATGGTTTTATACTCCAGGGTGGCCGCCTGGTCCTCCAGGGCCATCTGGGCCACCTCGCTCATTTTAGGCTGGTCCACGTACTCATGCTGGTAGCCCTGCTGCGTGATGGGCAGAACCACCACGCTGGGGATGTGGCTGGGTGAGGCCCGGAGGGGCAGGTCCGTGGGAATCACAGGGGATCCCATGGGGGGCATGTCCTTTGTGCAGGCATTGATGAGGTTCTGGTTCCTTTCCCACTCCCGGCTGCCGCGGCTGGGTTTCCGCTTCTGCTGCAGTGTTGGCGTGGACTCGGGGGTGGGCAAGGCTGCTAGGTCCAGGTGGTGCTGGTCAGCCTTAATGAGCATCTTGGCCGTGTTGCCGGGCGTGGTGAGCTTGCCGTTGTGCATGAGTGGTGTGAGGATGGCCTCTGGCTTTGGGTCTTTGGACTGCGTGTCACCAAAGAGGCCGCTGAGCTTGGTGACGCTGCTCATGGAGCCCCGGCGGGAGTGGGTGAGCTCCTCCTTGCGTTGCACTGTGGACACCTCTTTGCGCCGGTGGTCGCAGACACAGTAGACGATGATGCCTGAGAAAACGGCCCCCATGACAAAAGCCAGAATCACAGCAATGGCCAAGAGAGTGACAGGAACAAGCTGGTCATGGCCTTTGAGGTAACTTTCGCGTATCACTCCTGCAATAGACATCGCATGTGGTGTTAAGAAATGAAAGGATACCGAGAGGCATATTTTTGTTTGGCACTCACCCTGTTAATTAATAACAGTAATAAGTGACAATAGCACCTCAGCATAAGTTGTCATCAAGGCGCAGCTTGCCAAACATTAACTAATTAATCCTCCCCCAGCTCCCCCCACCCTGTGAAGTATGTAAATAGACTTTATTTGTTGCCTTCTTTCTGTTCTGAAAAAGTGCTGCTTCTCTGAAGTGCTTGTTCTTTCTACTTACTCTGTGGAATATGGCAGTTAGTTGTTTCCAAAATTTAACGCCCTTTCCCTCTTCATCCTTTTCCAATCTGCCCCTCATAAAAATTGGGATAACTGAGATATTTTGAGTCAGAAAGAAGAGGCAGCAATTTCACCCACGTTAAATGAACAAACCCGCACAATGCTTCAGGCTTCCAGGGTCTTTTCTGATGACTTCTTATCAGCACAATGGCCTTTATTTGGAGAAAAGCTAAGTTTGTTTTCTAAGCAACTGGAGGAAGGACAGTATGTGTCATTTATAGTGAAAGGAAATAGCTAAAGCCCACAGATTACAAATGTATGTTTTTTGCATTAACTCTCAAAAGAAAAAACACACAAACACACACACCCAATTCCAGGTAAATATGTTGAATATTTGAATCAAGCTCTTCCCTGACGTGAACTGAAAGGATATGTAGAAAAGGGGACCACCGGGGGCCCTGAAGTGGGTTTGAGAAGTGTCAGGTCTCATTATTACAGCTAGATTTTGCTGTCACAGAGATTTTTCATTAGAGCTAATCTCCTCAATTTAATAAAAACTATGTGACTACACCCATCAATAATCTCACACCACATTAACCAGGATACAGTTTCTGAAGAAAGTTAGCGTCCCCGTTCCTGCTTAATCAGCCCCCTCGCTGAAAGACTCTAATCACATGCAAACACCGAAGCTTTTATTTTTAATACCAAGTGAGAACATGCATCACAAACGTCAGATCTTAAGTGCCTGATGCGGTAGCTAAAAAATAAAATCTCAACTACTTCGATTCCTGCCTCTGGAGAGTGAAGGAACATGAATACATGAGCGGCGCTGCACGGGCTGAGGGAATGTAAACACTGCTCCTGTGATGGAAACTGATAGGAAGACAGAAAATGTCCCTTCTCTGGGCCCAGGGGACATATTTTTCATCTACTAAATCAACTCTTTCAGGGATATGTTTAATGTATTTTTCTGGCAGATATCAGTGGCACAGAATTAGAATGAAATGAAATAAAAATCTCTACCCCTTCCCAAAGCCACGAAACAACCCTTAAACTTCTGCTGAAATGCTTGTCTTATGTCACAGCTGAGGCCCTGAAGAAATGCAGCTTTGTCTTGGGGTTTTTCTGCTAGAATATTCTGATGAGTGAAGTGACGGCTTTTAAACTCAGAAACCTTAGCCTGAGAAGATACATCCTCCTTCCTTTCTAAATAGCCCCCTTTCCCCGCTCAGTTGTGACATCACAGTTGGTTGCTGTGGAAATGATTGTCCAGTAACAAAGGATTGTGACTTCAGGTGAGGAATAAATAGAGGCAGCCAAGATCTCTTGAGAAAGAAAGATTCTGTGATTAAATAAGTGCCCTTGATAATGAAAAGTAGAAGAGGCAATTCATGCATCCCCCGGAAAGGGTGTGTAAGACAGTAAGACACTGAATCATTTCCAAATGTGACACTTTTCAAATATTTCTACATTCATCTTTATGAATTTTTAAGGGGTAGAAACTGAGAAGCAAAAAGCCAGCAGGACCTTCAGGTATAACTCACACCTTTTATGTTGTGGAGCTCCTTGAACAGTGGAATGTCTTTGTGCCCAAATATGTTTTAGTACCCAGCCACCAAGGAACTGCGCTAATGAAAATTTCTTCCCTAAATCTGTATTTCCTTGTTGTAATGCTAAAACAGCACTGCTTTTCTTTTAATTTTGATTGTGTATGGTGTTCTGTTGAATATCATTTCTAACCACTTACATATAATGGTAAAAAAATGTAAACTGAATAAAATGGTTTTAATTTCCCTCATTGATTTGGTGATCTCTGTGGGGCGACATTATTTATTTTATTTTTAGACAGAGTAGAAAGGAGGAAGAGAAACATCAATGTGTGGTTGTCCCTCATGTGCCGCCCCCCCGCCCCCCTCCACTGGGACCCAGCCTGCAACCCAGGCATGTGCTCTGACTGAGAATCGAACCAGCGACCCTTTGGTTCTCAGGCCGGTGCTCAATCCACTGAACCACACCAGCCAGGGCTGGGTAAGTTTTTTTCATAGAGAAGGGTTTTTCATAAATCCCTTTCAGGCAAGCATATTCACGGGAGCTGTGTCTTTCCAATAAATGCATACTCATAATAGGTACCTGTCCAGATGGCTTTGGAATGTTGTAATTTAAATTGCCCTCTCCGTTTAAGAGGAACATGAAAAGAATAAGGCTAGAATAGTCTGTTTTGTTTTTCATTCATTGTTTAATTGAGAAGACTGCAAAATTTTCAAGTTTGTCCACTGCTTCTTAACTGTACTCTTAACTTCCATTCATCTTTCATGTCTGAAAGTGCTCAACTATCTTAGACTCATGGAAACCACCTGCTCTTTCACTGGGAAAAACTCTTTTTTAGTGGGTACTTCGGGTTCAGGTTTTTAGTTGTTAATGAATCAAGCAAGGTCTGACTTTTGAGAAAAATGGTTTCTCAGATAGTTCCCCCATCTCATTTTGTTTTGTAAATAATGCCCTTAAAAACCTTTCCGCATCTCTTCAACTTTGAGATATCTATCTTGAAGCACGTGGCTTCCCTCACCTGCTTGTGGAAATTCAGAAACGCCAATCAAAAATTAGAAAACAGGTCAGAGATTAAGTTGGATGTGCTGTCAAGAAGAAGTTAAAAATCATTTTCAGAAAATCCCTTCTAAACTTAAAGCTTTTTCCTTATATCATGAAAAAGCGCAGAGGGGCATTCATGGAAATGATTAAGTCATCTCTGCTATACACTGGTCACAGCGAAGGACTGAACACACAGATCGCCAGAGAGGCTGGGAGTTGTGCACGCTGCACTAGAGGTCTCTGAAGGCCTGGAGTCTCAGGCTTCCGCTTACTGCTTGCTGGGCGACCTTTTGGCGAGTGACTTAATGTCTCTGGGCCTCAGTTTTTTCATCTGTTATGTGGGGTTAACCCATCCTTATTAAGTTGTTGCAAGAAGCAAATGAAGTAATGAGTAAGAAAGAGCTTAGATGTCATAGTTTGCAGGACAGATCTAAAGATCAAAAACAGCCACAGGAGAGAAGTGGTGGGTTAGTACCTCCCCAAGGGCTTAAAACCTAGTCAGGGCTGCTCCAGTGGATTCCCTTGCTATGGGCCTCCTGTGGGAGAGGGGACAGGACAGTTTTTCCCAGATCAAAACTTTGTGCTGTCCAAATGTTGCCAAAGAATAATATGGCAAGGCAACATAAGAAGACACTGCCTATTGGTCCTGAATTTTGAAATAAGTGAAACAACAAAAGTGGGAACTGTTAAAAAAAGCCGTGATTATAGTTAGACTTCTTTCTCATGGGGCAGTGATCCTGCAATCAGCTCCTTGAGGAAAGGCACCAAATATTATATGCATGGGTCAAACTCACCATCCCCAGAGCACTAAGTAAATGATTGTTAAACAAATGGGTTTGTAGTGCCAGGCAGAGACAAGTTTTTAATGGACTTCTAAACTTGGTGCATCATTTTTGGAGTGACCGTAACCTTGCTTCTGAAGTCACTGAAACGTACCTCCAATCATATAACAGGATAAAATCATACCAACATTAATTAGACAACAGAAATCTGTAAAAGTGCTCAGTATTTGTTCAACATAACAAAATAAACTATTTTTAAAAAATGAAAAGAAATTCATTCTAGGATGATTCCAGAACAGACAATGAGGGCGAATGGGTTGTCTGTAACAACTGAGTGCTCAGGTGGACTCGAATCATTCAAAACCAATGCCTCTGTGCAGAGGGCACAGGGCAGCCCTGGGCAGTGGAAGGGCCTTTGCTCGGTGGTGAGGGTGCCACCCAGGTTTCCCAACACCGTGGAATGACCAATCAGAGTTGGTTTCTCTACTCTAGGGTGTGGAAATGCCTTTCTCTACCAATCCCTGGGTTTTCTGCTCTCACCAATCGAAAACAGGGCATTAGTAATGAAAACAGTTTCTGAAAAATCCTTAGCATTGATTCATTAACCACGAGCTATTTCTCACCAGTCATGAAGTGCTAAATGGTTTATTCTTTCCACCTTCCTATTGCAGGAAGCAAGGCACACAATGGCTCAGAGATTTCTCTGAAATCATGACTAAATGGGCAGAACTGAGAAAGAATAGAAGCTCCATTGTTTTTTTCCCCCCTGAGATGAGAGTTTTCAGATGCTGGAAAGAGGTCTCAGAGGGGCAGTTTGAGGGGTTTTAGGATTGAAGCAATGAAAAGATCATGAACAACCCCACCCTCCAGGCCCTACCATATGTAATTCAGATAAGAATAATTATAAGCTGTAAAAGAGGAAGTCCAACGGAGTTCTGATTTTACCTATGATGACCATGTCAGTGCATTCTGACATTTCAAACATCGAATTCTTTAAAAGTTGGTTTCTGGTAGCCCTGCTTGCAGGTTCTCTGCAATTGCCTAGTGAGCATGGGGAGCCCAGCACCGGGGTCTGGATTGTGATGTTCTCAGTGCCGTTTCTGTCACTCTCCTAGTATAACAAAGGTTTCAGCTCCAAGCATCGCTGTGGCTGTCTTCAGCAAACATTTACTGAGCACGGACTAAAGCGCTGTGCTTGGTGCTGGGGAGACCAAGGTGAAGATGGCATAACCCTGTGTGGTCCAGGAGGGGAGGAGGAGGCAGATGCTTACGCATGAACTATATCTAAAGTGCGGGCGCACCATGAGATACACTGCTTCCACTTCAATATGGGCAAAGGCTTTATGTAGGAGGTGGCA